GGGGGGTGGGGGGCCAGGACCCCCCCCACACCACTTTCCCCTGCGGAGGCAGGTGGCAGAAGCTTGGTCCTGCGGCAGCCAAGCTTCCCCCTCCCCTGCTTCTTCCCCCAGAGTGGCGCTTTCCGGCCCCTCCTCTTGGCTGGGGGCGTCTCCCTGTGCTGGGCCCACTGCCCAGGGTCCCCCTCACTCTCTCCGGCTGCTCACCACACCTGGCTCCAGACTGCTCCAGCCCCACCACTCTGCCCCAGCTCCAGCCTGCCTTAGCACTGCTGCTGCTGCTTTGCCTCCAGCTCTCTGGGCTGCTTTTCTGGCCTCTCTGGCTCTGGTTGCTGCTGTTTTCCTCCCAGCACAGGTCTGCTCTCTGGGCTGCTGCTGTCGCTCTGCTCCCTAGCTCAGCACAGGCTCTTTCTCTCTCCTTAGCTCGGCCGCACTCTGTTCCAGGCAGCTCTCCAGCTCACACGGAGGATGGGAACCCCCTGGCCTCCTGACTCCCTCATAGCCTGCCCGCTCTGTCAGTCAGGCTGACCTGGAGCATTGGCCTCTCCCCATTGCCCTTGGGGGACTGTCAGTCTCAGGGTCCTGATTTCCCATTGACCCTTCCCCTTTCTTTTGGTACTGGGAGCTACCCAACCAAAACAACCCCACTGAGTTTTAGTAAGGGGCCAACAGTCCCCTTACACAAGGAAGGTGGCTTTGTGCATAAGAAAGTTCTGCAGCCACTGCTTGTCATCCCGTACCGGCATCATAAGCTGATCCATCACTCAGTGCTTGTTTCCTGAGCCCAATAGTGACGGTCCACCATGTGCACCTGTTTTGTGAATGTCAACTTCAATCTTGAATTGTTTCTTTCCATGGCACACAGCAGGGCGCAGGCAGCACTGATTCCTGTTCAGATTCACAGGTCATGAAATACTGCAGGATCGGCTAGGTTGTGTTCATAATGCTTATCACAAGACTGGCAAGCAATGCAAGATCCATGCTTTCAGGCAGAGATGGCGGGTACACAGTTTTCAGGAGCAGTTGAAAAATGGCGTGAAACACAGTTAGAAGCCCTTGGAGTTATGGGATGGAGAAAACTGCATCATGGGGGTGATGATCCTTGCCCCATGATTCACTGCGATCCATTCCCAGAACTCCTATCCGGAGAAGGTGGTGATTTGCACAGTGGGATAGCTACCCACAGTGCACTGCTTTCTCTGTTGGTGCTAGAGTACCAACAATGGATGCACTCTGCTGCCACAAAGAGTGTTGTGTTAACATGCACAAGTGATGTAATTACAACTTTTTTTTTATCATCAACTAAACTTAAGTCAACTTAACTCTGAAGTGTAGACATGGCCTCAGTCTGATCTTCCATGAGTTTGCTGGAGAATCTCTTTGTGAGTCTCAGGCTAGGTCTATACTACCCGCCTGAATTGGCGGGTAGAAATCGACCTCTCGGGGATCGATTTATCGCGTCCCGTTGGGACGCGACAATCGATCCCCGAATCGGCGCTCTTACTCCACCAGCGGAGGTGGTAGTAAGCGCCGCCGACAGAAAGCCGCAGAAGTCGATTTTGCCGCCGTCCTCACAACGGGGTAAGTCGGCTGCGATACGTCGAATTCAGCTACGCTATTCACATAGCTGAATTTGCGTATCTTAAATCGACTCCCCCCTGTAGTGTAGATGTACCCTTAGATGATGTAGATGTTTAGCTCTTAGACCTTAATTGAAAGTGGGGAATCTTTAACAAAGGTTTTCTTTCTCCAAACTTTGAGGGCTTGTCTAGACATAAATTGGCACCATTTTAGACCAACGCAAACCCTGTGTACGGATATGCTAAACTGCTATAAACCAGATTTAAATCAATTTAAGAGTATCCACACACAAAATTGCACCAATTTAGCAAAATTAGGGCATGGCTACACTTGCAGATGTAGAGCGCTTTGAGTTAAACCAGCCTTCGTAGAGTGCAGTGGGGAAAGCACTGCCATCTGTCCACACTGACAACTTCAAGCTTGTTTGGTTTACCTTAGAGGTGGAAAAACCCCAGCCTAGGACTGTAACTGCCCTGTTTTAAGCGATTTGTCCTGAATTGGCACTCTCAGTTGGGTCC